ACTTCTTACTTTCAGGGTTTTGTTTTTGCTTCAAATGCGAGAAATTGGATACCAGATTATCAAAATAAACTAATTTGCAGAGGGAGCTGGGAAAGAGTATTTTGAGAGGTGTCTGCCATGCTAAGCATGGGTCCCACCAGTTCATAAAACTGAGCTGCTAGATTACTGATGATCTTGTATCTGCTGCAACCCCAGTCATGTGAGATTTAGCTGCAGCAGTGGTAGGATTAGGCCTCTAGTTTGTGCAGATGTTAGACAGCCTCACAGACTACATGGAGGGCTCACAATAGAAGCCACAGGAAGCAGAAATTGGTCATTGTCTCGTCCCAAATTGTAAGAGGCAGCGGCCCCTTCCTTAGCACACACGATCTCTGTGTAGGTTCTGGGCTTTCTCTAGAAAACCTCCTTTTCTCTGCCTTAACTCGCCTTGAGTCATGGCTCCCCTAACAATTTTGTGTAGTGAAAGTGGCTATTATATGGACTTTTGTTGTTAATACCTCCTTGCTTTAGTATGGGTTTCTCCATTATAGATAAAAGGTTTTGTGAGTTTAGGATATTTAGTTACTAGATAGAGAAAAGGCACCACAATGAAAGCTTTTTCAGTTATTTAATACAGCTTTCACATCTTTTAATATTAAAAAGTAAGTTCATCTTTTAAAATTTTGAGTGACCGGTTTATTTATTCACTATTGCCCAGGTTTCTGAAGCTACAGGAAGGCTCTTATATACATCTTGTGCTTTTAAGTTTTAGTCAGAGTTCATAGGACCCCTTAAGTGGTATAATTACCAACTATTATATACATAATGCAGCTTTTTAAAAAAGGATTCCCCCCCTCCCCATTTAACATTCACTGTTTAAACAATTCAGTGTGGAAATAGGTTATAACTGACCTATCTACATTTAGTTCTAGTAACTGCTCAAAAGAATGAGTACCATTTCTAAGGAAATATCAAAAAGAAGTACTAACTTAGTTTTCCAGAAATAATTATGATTATTTCATATAGTTGAAGAACTGATTGATGTGGACTCAAACCTACTTGATTTCACATTTTTAAATTAAAACAAAAATTTTAATGGGGTGGTAAAATACTAGCTTATCTTAGAAGCATTACAAACTTGTCTAAATACCCTTTTCAAGGCCCTGACGTGGAACTTGGATCTTGCTAGGCAGGCTTTTTTGTGGGCGTATTAATTCACATTCCACCTGTCAGGGTACCTATAGGTAAGAAATGAAACCACACCCTCTGTTCTGACCTTTTCCTCAGGGGACACTGACTAGAACTTTGGCTCAGCATCAGAGGCTATTTGAATAGCTCAGTTCCGAAGAGCTTTTACTTTTGAATTGAGTGAAGCAGCAAGAACCGGGGAAATAATATTGCAGCTGCGTTTCTCAGGACTGCTACTATGGAGATTTAAAACTTGATCTTTCCTGCTAGACTCGACTTTGGAAGGCTTACTTATTTCTATAGACATATTTCCACAGTTGTGTTTTTTTTTTGCTCAGCTATTTACATATTTATATTTTTTATTTTTCCATTCTTCAAGGATTTAGTTAATCTAGTTTAAAAGGTGTTTGCTTACTTTTATTTTTGTTTTTTGTTGTTGTTTTCCAGTTTTGTCTTGTTTTTTATGAAGACTGAAAGATCTAGTTTTTTTTTAGATTTGTGAGGTTTTTCTTTTGTTCAGTTTTATCAGTTTTGTAATGTTTATTTGATAGTGCTAAAAAGAAACTTTTATACTGCAATGATAGGTCTTGATAAATTAAAAAGAACTTTTTAATGTAGAAAACTGATAAAACAAACGAGGAAAATTGTCAGCTGCGTCTCCTAGAATGGATTCTTACAGAACCTATTTAGCAAGTGTCAAACTCAGTGGCTCATGGTTGGAAGAACAAGATGAAGACATATATGAGGTTGAATCTCGTGTGCCTTTACCTCATCCTTTTCCTCTATGTGAACATTTGGATGAAAATAACTCCGTAATTATTAATACTTCTATTTTTCATTTTATTCATAAAAGAAATGGACACATATTAAAGCTTATTTCTAAAATTTCACTGCCTACCCCTCCTTATTCAGTAAGTATAAAAAATGTGTGTTTTATACTTTTAGCTTTAGTTTATACTTTGTTTTAATACATTTAGTTAAAAAAAACTTTGTTGAAAAATGAAATTTAAATGTCTTTAGTCGGGGTAAATGGAATAGAATCTTGTTTTGTTGTTTGATGTGTTACTACTCATTCATCCTGGATGTATTGAAGGGCTAAATTTGGTCTGAGAGTCCCAACTTGGCTATGTTTTTAATTCCAGAAAGCAGAATGAGATAATATTACAGTTCTCCCATGCCACGCAAGCTGTTTAAAGGGATTCTGCTTGTCCTTAAGAATCGTGCTTTTGTATGTTTATGATGCCAATCCTGAGTAAAAATGGAACGATTATATTTGAGGGAATTGGCACTCTGAACCCTATAACAGCTAAGTGAATTGACATTGACCCAATTAGGAAATGTTTACAATCATATGGCGTATTGGCTGTAGTTCCAAACAAGGAAAAAGGGACCTGGATTCTAATTTTAATTTTATTGCTAGCTCCCTAAAGAACTTATTTTCAGTGTTTTTAATATGCCTACTAATCCTGTGAGGAAGTACTTTGTTTTGCTATTTCTGTGAAATGTGTTTTATTAACAGTGTTCAGGGTAAGTATTTAGCGTAATCAGTGTTTCAAGTTCATTTGAGACTTAAATATGTTGTGAATGATTCACTACAAGGTATTCAGCACTTTTTATGACTTTAGTCGCTTTAACTATAATACACTAGCTAATATTTAACAAGCCAGATGGTTTTCAGAACAGTTTTGTGACCGCCCCTGAAACTTTTATATTAAAGTGACAGAATATTTACTGATGTTTTATACATACTTTTAAGATTTCTTAAATTATTTGAAAATATTGAATATGAAATTTTTATATATTTCGTATTTAGTTGAGTGTTAGGTATAGGCAGAACATAGGTATTAGGATTAAATCATATCTTAACTGGATAAAAGAGGTTTTTTTTAAGTATTAATGTAAAGTATTTAGAAGAACATTTGAAGGGAGTCTCTCATTCTAATAAAATGCTGGTATAATAAATGAAATTTGTTTACTAGATTTACTGTATTTGATTCTTCCAATTTTTTTGTTTTGTTTGTAAAACAAGTTTTTTCTTCTGGTTTTATGGTAAATATTTAAATGCACTTTAAGGCTGGGTTAGATGCTGTCAAGAAGTAGAATACAGAAGCAAAGACTTATTTAATTTTCTTATCTAAAGCAAGAATATATTTTGTTGTAAGTGCTCTGTTGTATTTGTACAATAAAGTTGAAAAAGGAAAAAGAACTCATATTTTTAGTTAGAGCTTTGAACTTTTTTAGCCATTTCATGTATTTATCAGGCAACCATTTTATAATGTACAGAAAGAAATTACATGTGTACATGTAGAAACAATATATTTTTAAAATATAGGCTCTGACTGTAAATTTAGGAAAGTAGTTGTATAAAATTAGTTTATAGTTTATGGTCATGTTTCTTTGTAATAAAAATTAATGTATATTATCCACACTTAAAGGAAAATACCCTTTTACCAGTCTAAAGTAAATATATAAAATTTTTATCTTTGATGAGGTAACAACATATTATGATATATATTTTAGGAAATATTTTGTGATTTAAAATATGCTTAATATTCCATTATGAGTCTTAAATATACATATTATTTCCAAGTATTAAGTTGTGAATGATATTTAAAACATCCTATTAAAATAAGAATAATTGCATACTAGATATTTTAGAAATTGAGTTAGAGTGACCATAAAAAACTTTGTTAATCACTCTAAAATCTCCACTGTGGCAAATACCACTCAGCTGTAAAGAGCAGACAACTTTAAGAATAAAATATTCTTAAATATTATCATAATTTTATAATACATTATTGATACCTGACTATAAATTGGAAACCACTAGTTGATTCATATTTTAAGCTTAAAACGTAATATTTTTCTAATTAAGCATATATAAATTGACACATTCTTATGACATTATTGTGAGCCTGTTATTAATATATATGGTCATTACTTTTTAAAAAAAATTGTAGTCAATTTGAGCTCCGTTTTTTTCCTGTGTAATTGTTTCAATAAAAACAGATAAGGAGTCAGCAGCCCAGAAAACTAAGGCAGAGATAGTGTTTTTCTGCAGTTTCATGCAGCTGCTAACAATGATCACTGTTTTCTGAGAGCTTTGGCCTTGAGTCTGTACAATACTTGAATATCATCTAAAAGTTGTATAAGAATGTACTCAGTATGTCCCGGTGACAACATTTTAAGGAGGCTGTGTTTATGGGTAATGCTCTGTATTCTGAGGTTTTGAAAATAAAGTAAATGTATTTAGAGTCTTGTATATGTTTCACAAATGGGTAGAACATAAGGCTTCTTAGTTAAAACATGGGTTATAAATGTAATTTCATTTTGTTTTGCCACTGATTTATTCATTGATGTCATTGTATTTATTATATATAATTAGTTCCTTACAGTATGTTGTGACACAGTTAATAAGTAAATGTTAAATATAAAAGAAATATTTATCATATAGCACATAGTTACTACATAAAATTCTTTAGCAAATACAAAAAGAACCTTTGTGTCATTAACTTTATGTCTCTCTTTATATGATAGAATATAGATCATATAGATGTAGTGATGTAAAGTGGTTTATTTCCAAAAGAAGTATTTTGTTGTTGTTCAATAAAACTAGAATGCGTCTTTTATGGAAACACTTAATCTAGTTGTCTACTGACTTATCCCACCTACTAATGGTAGCATGTACTAGAAATAGTAAATGAACTACAATTCAACAGTATATCTTTATTTTTATTTAAAATCCTTTTGTTAAGCTTTAATGGGGAATGACACTGGTACTCCCAGCACTTCACTTGTCTTCCTTCATATGTATAATTTCCCTCCTTCTTTAGCTCGAACATGCAAAAGTTACACAGACAGAGTTGATGCGTGAGTCATTTAGACAGAAACAAGAAGCGACCGAGTCCCTTAAGTGCCAAGAAGATCTGCGAGAGCGCCTTCATGAGGAGTCCAGGGCCAGAGAGCAGCTGGCTGTGGAGCTCAGTAAGGCTGAGGGTGAGCAACGTGCCGTTGGCAACGGAGGGTGGAGAAGTCTAAATATAGAGATTTTGATGCAAGCCTGGTTTGGAAACCACCAATCTACTCTAATTTTGAGTGACTGTTGAAAAGTAGTTCTAATTTGTCTTCAAATTACCCCAAATGATTTTTACAAATATATTTTTAATTATAAAAACTACTTTATAGAATTACAGAAAGTATAAAGAAATTTTAGAAAAGGCAAAAATGGATGACGGTGAGCTGTTAACCATTCTCCCACCTCCCTAAGACAACTCTTGTAATTTAAAGATGAGGAAACTGAAGCTAAGAGATGTTAATCAGTTGTTCAAGGTCACCATTAAACGGTGAAGCCAGGCTTTAAGGCTCCAAAGCCCCATGCTGTTTATATTCTGCCATGCTGTTGTGGGTGTTGGCCCTCTAGAATCACTTAAAATATCAGCTTTCTCTAGTATATTTAAAATGTGATTCAGCTCCCAAGCATCTGATTTATATTAAGCTTTCTAGGAACCTATCTATTTATATCTATTTAATAAAATGAGTTATACCCACATTATATGATACATTAGCATAGCAAAGCAATTAAAAGTTCAGAGGGGTTTCATATTTAGGCACAATGGTTAACAAGAAAATGGCTGGATTGAACATAACCTTGTTGTCTATTAGCAGCAAATTCATCTGAGACTTTTAATAGGTTGGAATGATTTGAAGTTTTGCTAGCAGTACATCCCTTTTATTGTTATGTAAAACCTAATGGTAAAATTTGAAATAAGTAATAATCCTATTCCCTGTTAATTTTTTAGGTGTCATTGATGGCTACGCAGATGAAAAAACTCTTTTTGAAAGGCAAATTCAGGAAAAAGCTGATATAATAGATCGACTTGAGCAGGAGTTGTTATGTACAAGTAGTAGATTACAAGAATTGGAAGCAGAGCAACAGCAGCTCCAAGAAGAGAGAGAATTACTGTGCAGACAGAAGGAGGCTATGAAAGCAGAGGCAGGCCCAATTGAACAGCGTATGTATTTTTAGACTTCGTATGAAATATTCTTTAAAAGTTCAAGGTGTCTTCCCCCCCCCCCCCCCCATGCATTATTCGTGTATTTTATAGGGGGATTAAAAAATTGTAAGAAAATCTATTGATAAACGTCTTACTAGCCAACCATGTGGAATCAGGATTTTTTTTTTCTTTTTCCTCTAGCAGCTTTAATGGAAAAAGATAATTCTTTACTTTTCCTCAAACCTCTGCCCCAAGAGAAAGCTGCACATAGTGAGACAGGATATTTTTTAAACTGTGTGATATTGAGTTCTTTTAATAGCAGAAAGGCAGCAAAAATGTATACTTGGATTAAATAACTAAGAGCACTGATCTGACACTAGTAGTGAGCAGGTGGGGGTGGAGTTCAGCCTGCAAGAGAATAGAGGAAAAGGCCAGTGGCTGTTAGAAGCAGGCTGACATCTAGTTTGATCTAAGGAGTTCAAAGAATATACAAATTTACAGATAACCTTTAATCTTTTCTTAAACAAAAAAGTAGATAACATCTTGAAGTATGTTTAGCGGTAAAAACATAAATGTTAGTCTTTGTAACAGTGGAACTGTAAATCCTTTTTATCATATCCTCTCACTTTTATATTACACATGTAGTTGGAATTGTGTGTAGTTTTACTAGTTGAGTTTTATCAATTTAGAAATACAACATATATTTTTGTAATATGGTGAAGTTGTTTCTGGTTGCTTAAATTTCTTTAATACAGGTTTATAGAGTTGAAATTTTTAATGTAGAAAGTATACATGTCACACATATAAAATGTTCAGGTAACACTAGAATGTTACCAATGATAATGTTACCAATGATAGTAATCAATGATTTCAACTTTTACTTCTAATTCTTTTGTGTGTGTGTGTTGTCCTATTTCAGAAAATAGAAGACATGTAAATTATATTTTTGTTCTTGTGTGTATTTTTGTTTTTGTTTTTTTCTATTTGTATAGGACTAGTAGATGCTGCAGTCGATGCAGCACCTGGATCAGGTGTGTTTATACATTTGCATGGCCAATCTTTGGGTGGTAAATTTACAACTCCAAAAATTGGGTCACCGTTGGATTTTCAACCAACTAACATATCTCTAATTTTGCTGTTGTGTTTCTTATAGTTTTTCTCTTTAACAAAGTCTTTTCTTACAATAAAAGTACATACTCATATTTGAAATTAACCATTAAGGTTCATAGTCATCATCATCTTATTATATCTATTTTTCCACAGAGTTTAAGACCATTTTGATTTTTTTAAAGAAAACATTGGTTTATTAAAACATTTTTTCTTTAACATATNTGGCAATAATAATAGTTCACTTTGTTTAGGTCTGTGCTGGAAAGTACAAAGTATTTTAAATAAATGCCTTGTGTTATTAATCTTTATGCTGTCCCTGAGAATAGGCTTTATTATCATCTTCATTTTACAGATAGGACTAAACCAAGTCTTAAGGGAGATTAAAGTAACTTGCTCATGGTCTCACAGTAAGTGATTTACCAAGAATTCCTCTAATTTATTTCTCTGATTCTGGAGCTCTGTGATGCTGTACTGCCAAAGCACGGGGGCATGTTTTGCCTTGTTAGTAGAAGTATTAAAAACTGTTATTCAATATTTATTGAGCTCTTACTGTGTGTAGACCATCACTGTCCAACTAGCACTAGACAAACTTCAAGGAATCTACTAACTCAGGAGACATATACACATTTGAAAGAGATAAAAAAACTTAAAAAGAAAACACAAATAGGTGCAAGTTAATGTAATCCAAACAGTCTAGATACCATTTGGTAGCTAAATTAAACAAGACTAAAAGAAATAGCTATCATTCTGTTTTTAAACCGTAATATTCTTCTGGGTTGGGGTTGTTACAGATTCAGTAATAAGACAGCCTGGGACTGAAACTGGAGTCTGGTGGAATAAAAGGAAAGAATGCCCTACAGTGTCATTTTGGGGAATTGAAGGCTTGCTGTGATGCCTCAAGTTCAGCTATTTATAACAAGAATGTTAGTACTTTAAACCAGTGCTTCTCTAACTTAATGTGCATATGAATCCCCTCGGGATCTTGTTAAAATGAAGATTCTGCCTCAGTAGATCTGAGGTGGGGCTTCAGAATCTGTGCATCTCACATATTCCCAGGTGATGCCAATTCTGCTCCAGGGAACACACTCAATAGCAAGGCTTTAGATCACAGAGCTAAGTATGTGACCTTAAACTATTGTATCACAAAAAAAAAAAAAAAAAAACCATGTGAGGTAGGGCAGCAATTTTGAACTTAACACATCTCTGTATATGTTGAAATAGTACCTTGTCATTAAANCAGCATCTTAGCTGTGGAGGGCAGTGTCACTGGCCCTCATATGTGGGATCCGAACCGGGGTCCTCTGGCGTCCCAAGCCAGCTCTTAACCAATGCGCCACTCAGCCGGCCCCAAATATGTTTAACTCTTGCAGCCTATGACTTTTTCAAAATGCTGTTTCTAAATCAAGATGTATATAAGATGATGGTGTCAATAGAATCACTGAAATTTAGTATAGAGATTTTGGTTGATTTATATTAACATCTAAATCAGTATCGTTTTAAAAGCAAAGCTAATTTCTATAGATTCCTAGTCCTGAGTACAGTGTTGGCAAACCAGTTAGTATAAAGACTTGAGGGTTATGTTTCTTCCATTTTCTTCATTAGAGGATTGTTTTACTTTGCTATATATACTTTTGTGTGATTAGTATTAATAATAATAGCTAACACTTCTATAGTGTTTATCATACCCTAGGCACTATTCTTCACATATATTAACTCATTTGGTCCCACAGTAACTCTTAGAGATCAGTACTATTACTATTTCCAGTTTATACATAAGGAAATTGAAGGACATCATAAGTGTCACATGGAGATAAGTAGCAGAGGTAGGATTTGAACTCAAATCTCTGCTCTTAAGCACTATACCACACTGCCTCTCCTACTGTCAGTTTTCCCTAGATAAACATACATGTAAACATGCAAGACTAACTCAGGAATATGGATCTTAATAAGTAAGACTAACAGGAAATTCTGATTGCAGTTGTATTTCTTTTTCTGTAGCTCTTACTTGCCTTGGTTAAAGATTTGCAGTATTTGATCTTCATGTGTATTTGTATGCATATATAGTGACTTTATGGGTTTAGAATAAATTAATTTTTGCCTGAGGTGAGTTATTTCTATGCTACAACTTAAACAGATTCTGTCCTTTTCCTCATAGTAAAAGTGGATTTTTTAAAAAAATTTTTTGGTGGTCATTTGATGAGGTGTTTTCACAAAAATATTTTTTTAGTGATAGGACATGTTCATTTTGTTAATTCTGTATAATTTTATTGATACTACTTATATAGGAATATGTTATTTTGGTATTTTCATAGGAATATTTTTTCCCTTTTTACATGTGTTTGAAATAAAACCCTGATCTTTTATTTCATGAACGTAAAATTTAGTTATGGGTGATTTCACTATCATAACGTCATTGTGATTTAACTTAGTATATTTTTGCATTTATAAACAGAATTACTACAGGAGACAGAAAAACTAATGAAGGAAAAACTAGAAGTACAATGTCAAGCTGACAAAGTACGTGATGACCTTCAAAAACAAGTAAAAGCTCTAGAAATAGATGTTGAGGAACAAGTCAGCAGGTTTATAGAGCTGGAACAAGAAAAAACTGCTGAGCTAATGGATTTAAGACAACAAAACCAAGCACTGGAAAAGCAGTTAGAAAAAATGAGAAAATTTTTAGATGTAAGTATTCTCAACTTAAATATTGATTTTTCTCAGTGGAATGCTACCTGCTGTTATTCTAGGATGTGAATTTTAAATTATGAAGAGATTCATGAATTCTAATATTTTCATCTACATGTATCTTCTACCAATTAATTGAAAAGTACTATTCCAATTAAAAATTCTAATTGTTGTGCAAAAATCAGAATTAAAAGCAGTACAGGTAGGTTATGAAGAAGCCCTACTAGTTAGCCTTTCCAAGTTAAGAAGTTAGGAAGTTTGTCCTAGTCTTTTGTTTAACCAACAGCCAAAGCTGGTGAGGATCCTAAGAGCTAATAAGCCACATGCAGGTAACAGTGTGCCCTTGGAAACAAGGGACTGGAACAGTTGTCATACTGTCATTACTCTCTTCCCAAAAGATGTTACTTCTCTATTTTCATGTGGATTTTTTTCTTTGGGGTTTCATTTAAGCCTGATGTTCTCTTCACACATAGAGAATCAAGACTCTTAAACATTTTATAATTTTAGGTGTAAAACCTAAATTAGGATTAAAGAAATTTATTTACTAAACAATTTGTTCTATTTATTTTTTTAATAACTAAATTAACAATAGAATTCCTTCTTTGTTCCAAAAAAGTAAATTTGGTTTAAGGGAAATATTTTTATTTCATTTCGTATTTTACATGACTCGAATAAAAAGAAATGATGTGCTTCAAATAATACTTAAATGCTTAAATTTTTATAAAAGAGCCCAAGTAAGCTCTGTGCCATATTAAAAAAAAGAATATTATCTTTTTAAACCTTTTGGTTTGGGGTATTTGGTGATCATCACTTGTTTGTCTTCAAACAAAACTATACCTACAATTAAAGGGAAATAATAGCTTTAATAAATATTGTTTCTTCAGTTACTATTTTATTATTGTTAAACTCCAGGAGCAAGCCATTGATAGAGAACACGAGAGAGATGTATTCCAACAGGAAATACAGAAACTAGAACAGCAACTTAAGTTCGTACCTCGATTCCAGCCTATCAATGAACATCAAACTAGAGAGGTAAGAACTTTACTAATAATGTCTACCTTATAATAATTTGTATATTGTATGCAAAATAAAATGCATAGTGTGAAAAACTGACAAGAAATTCTTTCTATTGTATGTAAATCTTCAGATTCAGAAAATTAAATTTTACTTCAACATTAGAAGGTTCTTAAAAACCTTTAAATTATTTGTATCGCAATTTGCAATCATTACCACCTGCTTTATGTTCTACTGTTGTCCAGTGTAACAAGCTTTCCTACTCATTTTTCTATTCCCAACAAAACTGATCAAAAGAGTTTTCTGTGTTCACTGTCTGCTTCCCCATCTCTTATTTTCTTCTCAGTATACTTTAGTGAAGTTTCTAACCCTTCTGTCTCAGTGGAGTTTCTTATCCTCTACTCCATTGAAACTGTTCTGGGAAGGTTACCCCTCATTGCTATGGCCAGTAAGCACCTCTCTGTCTTTATTGTACTTGACCATTCAGATGCATTCATTAAGCCTTCTTCCTGAAACACTGCCTTCTCTTGGCTTCTGTGACACACCTAATTCATTGGTCTTTCTCTAGTTTTTGTTTTTGACCCAAAATAAATGATGGAGTACACTAATCTTAGTCTTGGGCGCCCTTTTCTTCCCTCTTTATATTGTCTTCCTAGGCCGTTGTCTTCCCAGTGACTCCACATTTGTATCTCCAGCCCTAGCATCTCCGTTGAGCCCCAGACTTGACTATTCAGCTGCTCACTCTATGTCTCCATTTAAATGTCTCAAAATTAGCATGTTCAGAAGAGAGCTCTTAATTCCTGATTAGCCTCCATCAAGAAAGTCAAGAATAAAACATGTTCCTTCTTTATTTCAGTAGATTTTATTTCATCTCCGTCCTTCTCGTAGCTAAGACCTAGAATTCATCCTTGACCCTACCTACTCTTTTTTCTCAGCTCCTACTTCTCACCTGTTGGTGAGTCAGGTTTCACTACATTTTCCTATTCTTTCCGCTTTGCTTTATCTCCCAAAATCCTAGCTGTCATCATTCTTTGCCTAGATGATTTTGATAGCCTTCTTACCACCCTCCCTGCTTCTACTTTTTCACCCCAACTGTCCATTTTCTCCTCATATGGGAACATAGCCAGAACTCCGTATTTACCAAATGAATGCTACATGAATGAGGGAAGATTCGTTGTACAAATTGCTAAAGATGGCTTGTCATAGTTATAAAGAGATAGTGCTTGGGGATAGACCAGGGGTCAGCAAGCTTCGGCTTGTGAGCCACATGCGGCTCTTTGGATACGTTCCGCCTCAAAGTTTGCCGACCCCTGGAAGAGCCAATCCTGTCCCTCACAACAATTTAAAAATTATTCGAGAGCCATAAAACAAATGAAATCACCATTATGTGAATAATATCCTTTAAAAATTTTATAAATGAAACTGTGATAGTTTTATTTTCATTTTCAATTTTACTTCAGAGCCACATGTAGGTACCCAAAGAGCCGCATGTGGCTCGCAAGCGGCAGTTTGCTGACCCCTGGTGGCTCTTCTGTGTCAAAAGTTTGCTGACCCCTAGATTAGACCATCCCATTTTGAATCATGGCTTTGCCATTTACTAGGTGTGTGACATTAAGTCACTTTCTAAAACTTGTTTACTCGCCTCATAGGTGCAGTGGCTGGTTACATAGTGAACATTTAAATTTAACTCTTGTTATTTATGAAAATAATTTTTATTTTTAAAAAATTTACAGTATAGGGCCGGCCGAGTGGCTCAGTTGGTTAAGAGCTCGCTCAAGAGTTTGAGCTCTGAGCAACAGCAGTTCCGTTCCCAGCCAGAGCTGAGCCGCCGTGGAGCTGCCAATAGGTGGCAGGATGGCTCAGCTTAAAAAAAAAAAAATTTTTTTACAGTATATAATTTTGATGCCGTTTACTGGGTTTTTTTTTTCTCTTAAAAGCATTTCAAAGAAGTATAAAATGCTTATAAACTTGTTATAGTAAAATATTATCTACATTCCCGTGGAATAGAAGTAATCTGATATAGAACAGCCTTATCTGCTAGAACGGTAGAAAATTATCAATTTCCACAGAGTTTGTAGTTAGGTCATCATTTCTAATAAACATATTTTCACCTTTTGAAATACAACCGTGTGATGGTTGAAACTCAGAAGGATATTGAAGTTCTAGAACTTACTGCCATTCCTATTATTTGCTTTCTTATCTTTGAAAAGTGACCAGCTTCATTCATGAAACTTCAAGAAACAAACAAGGATGTGTACATGTGATTCTCTCCAGGAACACTGTGATCCACTTGTTCTCCCCTTGCCATGCCAGATCTGATGCCCCAGCTTCTGATTTTCTCAAGATCAAAAAAACCCAACTATAATAGTATATTGTGCCACTTTGCTGTAGCTGTTTTGTTGTCTTTTCCTTTACCTTTACTCCAAATCTTAGTCTACCCATTATTAAAGTTTCTCCTCAGTGGCTTCATTACTCTCATCATCAAACATATATTATTAATAGGTAAGCTTACATTTATTTTAATGTTTTGAGGAACAAGTGTCATTTTTAGATTATTTCTTCAAAATATCTCACTGAAATAGGGTAAAATTCCTTTTTTTTCTTCCTATCACATTTATTTAGTAAGCTTTCTCTCTTCACTTGATCAGAACTAATTTCATAAGCTATCTTATTCAGTCTTCCTTTATCCTTCCATCACAGAGCCATTAACTTGAATGATCAGAATCACTTTCAAGGTACACAGAGCCCTTTCACCACCCCACCTTCTCATCTCTATTTTGGGCTGATGGAACGTGTAGGCTGAAAAAGCTTTCCAAGTGATTGTATTAAAACTCCTCCATCCCCTCCCATCCCTGCGGTATTTAGAACCATTGTGCTATTATGTGTTGATGATAACCATTTGTGGAAAGAAAAGTAGAATCCATGAAAGATTTTTTAAGGTAATCTCATCTCACATAAGTGTATGAGTTGGTACTGTGTAAACTTGTCATCTTTATTAGGTTTTAGTGTGGTTATGCCGTTAGAGGTTGTAATTCAACATTATTTAAAAATTATTTTTTTTCCTCCTAGCTGGAGAAAGTCTTAGTCTTAAAATGAAAAACTTTTTTAAAGGCCTAGTGAAAGCATGTCTCATACTATTCTAGTGCTGCTTAGTTTTATCCACTTACAAAATGTCACCATAGTTGAAGACAGTAGTTGGTATCCTTATCAAAAATAAAATTAGCCCAGCATCTAAAAATACTTTTGCAATGAGGATAGATGTGTTATTAGCTTCCTGAAATTTTTCATTTTACGGTTTTTGCTTATTATATTTCCAGGTTGAACAGTTAACAAATCATCTGAAAGAAAAAACAGACAAGTGCAGTGAGCTTTTACTGTCCAAAGAGCAGCTGCAGAGGGATATACAAGAACGGAATGAAGAAATTGAGAAACTGGAGTTCAGAGTAAGGGAACTGGAACAAGCCTTACTCATTAGTACAGACACTTTTCAAAAGGTGGGACATTTTCTTTGGGTTGATTTTTATAAGGGTTTTAATGCAGATTACTCTTAGTTAAACGAACATTTTTTTTAAATAAAAAAATGTTGTTGACTTTTTTATTGATGTTGTTATATAATGTATATGTCTTCATTGACATCGTAGCCAATTCTGTTTACTCTTATCTCCACATGTTGCTTGCATACCTCAGTCCTGAAAAAGGCAGATTAGTGAAACCAGACTTAATTACCCTCTTAACCATCAACAAGGTTGTGATTCTGAAATAAGAGCCACATGAAAAAGCTTTGGGCACCAGTTGAGGCTGATGTTTTACCCCAGACTAAGGAATGAGACCTATTCCCGCTGTCCTGCAGAAAGGAAAAGTGAATAAAAGAAGAGCAGGAGGAGGAAGCCCGGGAGAGGGGCAGATGAGGGGACAGCCTTTATTTTATCTGAGGAATGAATTGTTAAAAGTGTCAAACATTCCTGTGTAAAATACAGTCAAGACTGAATATCTGTAACTTTTTGATTCACTAATGTAGATTATCTACTTCTAATTAGAGAAAGAGTTGCTACTTCTCCAATTAAAAAGAATAATCAAGGTTTAATGTCTGAAATTTTGAGAACATTTTTATGTATTTAAAGGCAGAGGACCGAAAACAGTTTGGAGCTCTAGAAGCTAAAGCAGAATTGTCCCTAGAAGTGCAATTGCAGGCTGAGCGAGACGCTATTGACAGAAAGGAAAAAGAGGTAAGGAGTTTATTTTTAATGACAAAATGTGGTTAGAATTATTATGAATAAGTCACCTTGAAGGTATCATTTGAACAGAGTGGAGTTTATGGCCTAAAACCAAAGTTTGGACTGTTTCTTTGCTCATTGCCTAAGTTGACCTTGAAGACAGTAAACATTTGAACAGATAGCTGGTGTGTGAGGAAGAGTGTTCCAGGTAGAGGGGACAATGAGTGCAAAGACCTTGATGTAGCAAGAAGTTCTGAAGGCAAAAAGAAGGCCAATTTGATAGATATGAAGTGAGAGAAGCGGAGAATCAAGACAGAAACACTGTTGTTAAGGCTGAAGGCGGTATCTTTCTTTTCTTCTGACCTTACCATGGGCTTTGAATTATTGCCACTTTGCTGTGGGGTTGTTTGGTTTTTTTAAGTTTTATAGCCCTGGGAGATCATCGTGCTGTTTTAAAATATACTAAACATTAAGAGCGTGAGCTCTGAGCAGCAGGGCCGCCGGTTTGATTCCCACATGGGCCAGTGACGCTGTGCCTGAGCTGAGAAAAAATTTTTTTAAAAATCTAAAATATACTAAACAATATACAGTTTTCTTAATATAAAAGATAAA